AAAGTACCAGAGTTTCTTCCTGCACTTCACAGTGAAAAACAAGTTAAACAATAACTCACTTCCTGTTCAAATCCAAGACACGTAGAAAGCACAGAGCATTCCTGACCTTTCCACAGGAACCAATCCATGCTTTGCTAACAGCCTTGTAATAGAAAAATCCACCTGTTCTTTTGATTTGGGAAATTCAGAATAACAGCTATTTGAAGAAAAGAGTTGAGCTGATGATAGCAGTAAGATTTCCAGAAGCAGTAGTAAAAGGTAATGTTTCTTGTTACCTGGCAGCCTTGTTTTCTCTAGAAGTTTAAATCCAGTTGGAAAACTGTGAATGATTTCAGTATTGCTATGATTTCAGTATTGCTCTGGAGTGCTATTAGCTATCCACAGAGCAACAAAGAAATAAAAATAAGGTTATTACTTTGCCATACATACGCATATAGGACAAATGTCAGATACTCTTTCTTACATCCTCAAGTGAGGTTCGTGAGCTGCAGCTTTCCATATGGCATGCACACACCACTGCAGCATGAAACCAACGTGTGGAGCATCCCATTTGTTTTCTGTTTAACAGAGGCACAGCAACATCAGAGTCCAAGAGACACCAGCCAGAGCCTGCAGAAAGTAACCAGCTTGCTTGAGCTGCAGCAGCAGCACCTTCACACAGGCAGGGGTGGTGGGCTGCATCCCTAGGTGGGCAGCTCCCCTCCTATGTGTCACAGGGGTGCTAGGACATATGTTTCTAGAGTGGGAAGGTGTCAGATTTAAGACAAGAGAAGGTTTAGAGTCTGAAATTTCTGCCATTTGTACTTATGCAGAAGAAGGCTGAGGAAGCATGAGGCCTGAGTCAGGGGGACCTAGAAGGTGAGTGAAGAACTCGGGCTTACTGCAGACTTGCACCCAGCTGGAGACAGACAAGCTGCTCCAGCTAGTGCATTGATGACAGGTACCTGTCACCTGCTGCTGCACTGGTGACATTTGGGAGCTCTGAATTAGCACTTTGACTGAATCAGCCTCATTGAATTTAATATATCTCAATTTGTCCAAGGCCAACATTGAAGCTTGTAGCCATTGCAGTGACATGGCATCTTTCTTCTGTTACAGCTCCCCAAGCACAGGATACCGAGCTGCCTTCATGAGGTGAACAGGTACTTCAGGTCAGAGCATCAGAAATTTTCTGTTCTCCTGAGACCAGTGACACATGCCAAGGCACCACTGCATAATCACAGCACAACAAACATCTTGAACCTCCAGTAGAGACTTGCCATCCACTAATGAACTAGTTTTCTCCAGCCAACACTGTTTTTGCTGGGGTCTCAAAATTCATGTCATATTTCCCCCTGCAGTGTGCTTTTATTGCTAAATGGCTGCATCTGTGCTGCCAGTGGGGCTCAGTAAATTTGGATCTTTGAATCCAGAGTAGCCAAATTATCTAGCAGCAGCAATTTCCATGCAGGTGCACCTACTTTTCTACTTATCCCTTCTTAGCTGTTGTTCTGCTTTTTCGTGCTTTGTGCTAGGAGAAAGAGCATGGTGGCACAGTTCACACACTCTGTGCATCTCCTGCACTTGTTGTGCCTTTCACAAAGAAAACAACTCCCAGAAGGGGGCAAACCCGAGTGACAGGTCATCCTGTAGCAGGCACAGCTGCTAAGCCTAATTTTCACTTTCTCTAAGAAGAGCCTGAAAAGCACTCTCACAAAAGCCCAAACTCTAAATTGCTGTGCCCTGAGGAGGTGAAGAGCAGCCCGAGGGGTCCCTTCGTGTAAGCACGCTTCCTGTTCACTACCTGGGAAGAAACACAGAGGGAAGAGCTTGTCATACTGAGGAAAACGATCTCCCACAGCAAATGAAAATGCCAGGTGTGGGCACGGCGAAGGGAAGGGGTTATACTGGAGAAAGTTTTGAAAACACATACTTCTTTAGTGTTCTGATATTCAAAATTGCTTGTGGAGCTTGGCCATTCTTATCTAATTTGCTTTGTTGTAATTTTCGAGTTTTTGAAAAGCCTGACTGTGGCAGCACAGCGTCTCTCAAGCATCTGTTCCCGAGGCTGCCAGTGGTTTACACCAGCTACCTGTGAAACTTTGTGCCTGCATGCGACTGAAAAGAATTTTAATTAAAAGAGGTAACATCACAAGGTGTGTTGAGTGGGTCCAATGACCTTCATCACCTGAAGAGAAAGGGGAGGGAAGGGCAGCTGGGAGCCCCGGCCTGCCCAGCACCAGCCTGGTGGGCGCCACGGCCCCTCACCCCCAGCAGCACACACAGTGCCACAGCTGCCTGTGGACGTTTAAAAAAGTGTCTTTTACTTCCTCAGCTGCTCTATTCCAGGCTGGGACACACTGGCATCCCCTCACCTTCAGGGCCAATGACCTAAGGAAGTTGGTTCTTTCCCAGAGGCAGGGAAGGGCAGGGGCAGAGGGAGGGCAGGAAGCAGCTGCAGGAAGCGTGGGCCAGCTGCTCACCCTGAGGCCAGCTCAAGAGTCAGCTGAGGCCAAAAGGTGCCAAACTCTCTCACCTTGCTTTCACAGGTGCAAATTTCAGTCCTGGCAGTCACGGAGTATGGCACACCTACGGATATTTCATACACAAAGTGGGTCACAAAATTTACTGGGCAGCTGGCTCACATACACCTAGAAACAAAAATTTACTGCATACGGTTGTGTTCAGTTCTTTGACCTGTTCGCATAACAACAGATTCATCTAACACTTTTGCTCATTTATGAATGGTTCATTAATAAGTAAAACACAGAAGATGAAATTTAAGTAACAGAACATAATAAACACTTTACCTTCTAATTTCCATGTAGAACTTTTTAAAATGCAAAGTGCTATGATCCCACATGAAGAAATATTTGCTCCTTTTAGAGCTGAAAAAAGAACATTAAAAGAACATAGAGCTGTTTTCTTAATAACCTAAAAAATTTCCAAATCAAGAATTTGAATATTATCATCCAAAGGCATGAGCCTGATGTTTCACACCTGACTTCTACATGTAAATAGAAGTCTGCTGCAAGACCAGTGTGTGCATATTAATTAAAAGTCACTTTACACAACTCTTCAAACAACAGTATTTAATAATTTTCACATCAAAATCACTTTGTAGCTCACCAGCATTTTCTGCTTTTCTTTAAATACAAACCCAAACATTTTTTTAAAGCAGCAGTTTATATCCATAAGTTTAATGCATCACTGATCCACTTTAGAAAGGGAAAAATTAATGTGTTATGTGAAATACTTTTTATTATTATCAGGAAATGGAGCAAGAAGATCTTGTATTTCAACAACTCTCTTCTTCCAGAATAATCAACTTTCAGAAAAAAGCATTTTCACGAATTCTTATTTAACCTTCTTTTACAAAGCACGATATGTTGGATTTTTAACTTGCATATATAAAAATGACAAGTTACCATCTCAACAGGAGGAAAAAAAAAAAACAAAACCCAAATGTAATCTAAGGAAATGCCGTGCCAAATTCAGACTTTCATTTGCAAAAAATGGAACATTTCTGAGATATGTCTTATATTTCTGAGGTACAACTCAGGAATCAATACTTACCACAGATGCAATAGTTTATCTCTTTCTAGAGCTGCGATTAGGAAGTCAGAGCTGTTCATTTCTGGATACATGTTGCAAATACATGACTACAAACCCAAACACAATTCTTATTCCTTATCCCTCATTTCCTCCTAACTCTGCTACTAACTTCACAAAAAATATGGAAGTAATCTGGAAATCTTTATTGCTGGAAAGCTATGATGGGACTAACATCCTTTGTATAAAAATATTTTAATGCAGTTATTTAGAAATCTTAAATAAGAGCATTTCAGTGATAAAAATATTTTATTTGTGCTTCTGTTTGAGTGCATTGAGCAATGTATCGGGACTTTAAAAAAACCTCTCAAGTTTCACTCTCTGATCTTTCAATCCCAGACACCCCCGTTACAACAGAAGCACACGTTATGGCAGAGGAAATCATCCCAAAAGTGAGTTTCTGTATTGACAGTTGAGACTCATAAAGCAAGATCTGGGTATGGTGGAGTGTGCATTTTATATAACTATGCATACCAAAAAGATTATGGGAACTCTGCCAACCATGTGTGAATGTGACCAGCCAACTGAACACTACGTCTCATCCAGCTCCTTGGCAGGCAAGGTGGTTAGCTGTGATACAAGATATGCTGGCTGGAGCCAGGTCTAGTATTTGATGAGATGACAAATAGATCCTTTGTGTGAGGTTTTTTGTTACGCAGAAGCATCACCAATATCACCCACCCACCCACTCCATGCTACGAAAAAATATCCACTATTTAAAAGCTTTGTATAAACTGAACAGAGACTGCTGATAAAGTACTAGCTGAAGCTAGTAAAGAACACAAAACCACAAACAGAAAAAAGAGAGACCTTATTTTGAAAGGAAGAAAGCAAACAGAGAAATTGTAAGAAATGAAGTCAGTATCAGGTTGAATAAAATGATGAAAAGAAGGTCCTGCTGCAACAACAGGACTATAAAGTGTATCAGCTCATAAGCACACAACATCATGTAGCAAACAGTACCACACAAAACCAGCAAATGAAACAGTGTCACACAATAGAGAACCTCGTGCATGAAATAATACAACTTTTTATTCATGTTTTATAGATTACTTTTATTTATTTTTGCTTTAATAATGCATATTCTGTTCACTCTGTGCAAAATTGGGGACAGAGGCGGGTGTCTAAATCGTCTAATGAAAATCAAGCGGAGATGAACATTCAAGTTGAGGGAGAGGCCTACCAAAACCAGGAAAGCTAAAAGCCACAGCTGCTCAAGACAAAGCTGCTTTCAGCTGTGCCCTTTTGTCCTGCCACCTCACACAAACGTGGCTCTACTGACTGAGCAGCTGTACACTGAGAAGGTGACCGCCACCGGACACCAGGGACAGGAGTCATCGTGGTAGCTACATTAGGGAGACCTGGCTTGCAACTGGCTCCAGTCTGTGTGTGGCAAAGAAAGGCACAAATCATTGCAAAGACCAGATTTCTGGTGGTTTGTTTCCTTTTTGTAAATACATTACTGTACACAACATAAGTTTAAAGTGTAGGGGATTTAGGGACATAAAATTGCATATTTAACAGAACTTAAAACCATAACAAAAAGTAGGCTGTTCTATCTCGAAGCAAAAATAATCCCTCCAGCCCCAACATTAACATTCATTCCTGGCTATATGCAGTACAAACATTTTAAAATCTGTGACAAAAGATAATTAAAAACCAAAAGTCAAAATCATAAAGCTTGTAAACAGATAATCTGAAATACACTTTATTTATGGAAAAATATCATCAAAATAGTACCACTATGGACTAAACTGCCTGAGTTTTCATTTCACCTAGGATCTTGAAGTAGAGAGCTTTTAGCACAATAAGATCAATTTCAGTCACAACTAGTGCTGCACAGCACTGCTTCAGGTGGAAATTTTGTCCTTGTTGGAATTTTTGTTGTGCTATCAAAAACTGTTGTGCTAATCCTTCAAATAAAGGGATGTTGAGGCAATTCTTAAATCATTTGGCACAAAGTTATTTTGGCTGGGGCATAAATTCGAGTCTCAGTCATGAAGAATAATACAACATTCCACCTATCAAGTATTCACTTTGATTGAAGAGCTTTCTTTATGTCATTAACTTCCATCTGAAAAGAAACAAACAAAAATATTTGTGATGAAATTCGATCCTGACGTACAGCTGGTGTTGCTTGAAAAATACACTCCATCTTGTCCACAGGTGTTGAGTACAGGTTTTATACTACTCATTTCCACAGATTTCACAAATGGAGGTGGACTTTCTCAACTGCGTAAGGTGACCACTCACAGCTTCCTCCCCTCAGAGCTTAACAAGTCATTTAATGTACCACAGGACCTTTCAAACTCTTTAATTTTTAGACATGATTTCACTTGTGCCAAAATCAAACCATTAACACTGAGACTAAAAAATATCGTATTTTGAATCCTGTATTATGTTTGTTTTTTTTTTAATTTGTCTACTTATGCTGATAAATTTTTAGATAATTATTTACAAGCCACTTAGCTCATTGCCAGGAATTACTTGCAGAATGAGCACTATGTCCAGGCACCAGCTGCTGCACTTACACCTTGCACAAGTAAACTGAACTGCTGACAATGAGCACTGGAAGCTGCAGAGCAAAACCTCCTGTCTCTCTTCTGTAGGGATGGCGGTTACCTTCTACACCCATCAAACCTGCATCCAGGCACCTTAAGGGCTTTGATGGACGTTCGGCCTTGTGGTAAAAGGAGGTGGCTGAAACCATCCCCCCCCGAGTTGTACACGTGGCCCCTCTGATAAGACACTGGGAACCCTGAGGTGGGGGTATTGGCTTTATTCAAACACACCCTCAGTGCTCAACTGCGCCATACCATCAGGGCAGTCTTTAATATGTGGGCTGAGAGCTGCACTACTTTATGACTACCTGAGTGCTCTTAAACTAATGCAACTTTTGTTTGTTGAACTCTCATCTTCATGTAAAGCTACTTATGCCAACTTGGCTAGCATCTGAACATTTACCAGCATAAGCAACATTTGAACTGGAGTAAAAACATTCAGCTATAAGATCACAATTTAAAAACCATCAATGCAGGTCTCTGTATAAGATGTAAAGCCATCCTTGGAGTTAGAATCAAGACCTGCAAATAGTCTGGCCTGTTAGACTAAATCAATGATCGCTATTAAAAATGTTCATTGATTTTATCTGAATAAATTTCAATTTTAGCTGAACATGAACTGTGTGTTACTAGAAGCCATACTCCTATGTGGCTGCACACATAATGTCCTTTAGGCAGCCCTGGAGCACAGACATCGGTCACCCCAGCTCTGCCACCCTTTGCCATGTTCCCAAGCACTTTACTGAGCAGGAACAGCCCAATGAAACTACAAGTTGATTTTCTGTCTCTAGTACAAAAAGTACAGTTGACCTATACCATAACATTATAAAATATAATCAATACCAAACCTCTTATCACACACATCACTCTCCAAAATCCAGAAAAGCAGCTTCAACTTCATTCCATACCAAAGCTGCACAGTCAATGACTCTAGCAAAGGCCCAGCTCCACCCCTCTCACAGAAATAGGCAGCCTGGCAAATTTGCAACCTGGCAAATGACTAAGCCAGCAGGACAACATATAGAGCTAAGGTACTAACTATACAAACTATGGCAGCAATAACTGGGGTCTTAATCAGAGCACCTTCTCTTACATTGTTTAGGATTTAGTAAAGACAACTGGAGTACAGCCTGTAAAGCAGACATAAAACTCTTGCTACATGAAATAATATTCCAAGCATAACAACACTAAGACAAGCCTACTACAAAATATTAAGCCTTGGGAGAGAGCAAATAATTTAAAAAGACATGATTTCACTTGTGACAAAATCAAACCATTAAAACTGAGACTGAAAAATATCATCGTTTCAATCCTATATTGTGTTCATTTTTTTTTTAATTTGTCTACTTATGCTGATAAATGTTTAGATAATTAGCAGGCTTTTCAGTAAGAACCCAGTATCGCAATATAGATGACACAGAGTGGCAACATTATGAAGGGAACAGGTACATATCCCCTTCAGAAATGTTAGTAGTTTTGGATTCACTAGAATCTAAGTATCTTAGCAGAGTTTTATGTTCTATACCTGATGCTAAATCAAACCTGCCAATACTTTCATAACATTATAAGTTAAGTACCTGCAATCGTAGACGGATCTTCTTTTCTTCATCCAATTCAGAGAGCAACTGTTTAATCTCTTTTCTGTTAAGAAAAAGAGATTAAACAAGGAACTTTGCTGTTAAGAATACAGAAAAAGCTTGGCATGGAAACATTTAAACTAGTAAAATACAAAAGATCACCTCCTGGAGACATATCTTCCCTGCTTCACTAGTTAACATTTTTCACTCTGAACAATTAATTAAAGCCAGTATACTCCTGTATACTATATGCTGTACTACAGCAAAGTAAGACTCTATAAAAGGACAGCAGAGCCCACACCCCACATGGCTAATGAATAATACATTTCCTCCTAACAGCCCTGCATCCACAGGCTTTGCTCTGGACTAGCTGTCTCAACACTGTATCAGCACCCACTTGCCTCTTTTTCCCCACACGAAATGTCAATGGATTGGCTGCTGGTGAGTTAGGGGAACTGGTAACACAAATCCTGCCTGTGCTAGCACATAAGCCACTTAAAAGCTGTGTATGCCAGCAACTCAATGTAACCTTCAACTTCATTTATAAGACTTACTGATCCCAAATGTGGATTTGCTGTCATCCTTCTCTGTCGGGAAGGAGAACACAGGTATAAGGAGCAGACACCTTCTCATGTTCCCACTAAGTGATCTCACCTTCAGAGAGAAACCAGCAAGCAGAAGCAGCCCTTGCAAGAAGGGCTGAGAAGACCATGGGAGCAGGGGTCAGCCTCAGAGCTGAAGCTGTGGGGCTCACTGGCTAGATCCAGCTTGAGCTACACCTTCCTGCATCTTCTCCCAAACTCACCCCACACCCACCTCTGTTCCACCACAGTCTCTGCACGCTGCTCTTTTTTTTTTTTTTTTTTCCCCTGCCTGGGCTACACATACCTGACAATGTAAGCGAAGGTTTAGATATTCTTAAGAATAGCAAAAGCTATACGCCAGCCTGAGTTTCTCCTAAGAAATGAGCAGCTTAAAGAAAATAAAGATGCCCAACACCAAAATAGTAAGATTCAGCGTCATAATCTCAAAGGTCTTCAAATGTCCTCATCATAATTCAATTACTTCTTTTGTAATATGAGCTTCCTGGGAAAATGTGCTAACAGTCAAACAACAAATTGATTTAATATTTTTAGGATCTTGCAGCAATTTGTACTACAACTAGAACAAATGCACCTCTTACTAAGATCAATGCATGAGTTCCCAAATCGTAACTGGCAAATAAAACAACATAAGAACCTTATTCACTGTTTATAGCTTGTAACTTAACTTTTTCAACACCTCAACATCTGCTTATGTCATATACAGGAAAAAAAAGCTGTTCAAGACAGACATTGCCAGTCTTTTTTCCTGAGCTTACTGCCCCTGAATGTGTTCTGTCAGAAGAAAATCACTCACAAAGACAAACTGTGCAGAGTAACATACATGAAGGCAAGCTCAAGAAGAAACTGGCACCATCGTGCATGAATGGATGCATCCCACCTAGAGTTGTGATTTGCAGTACTTACTTTTGCTGGTCTTTCATGGTTTCAATGATGGTTCTTAGCTCCTTAATCTGCGTTCTCAGCTCCTCCAGGGCAGTCTGACCTTGGCTCAAGAGCTCAGTCTTTGGCTTTCCTTCAGTACCGAACAGGGATGGGGAATTTGACCTGTGGCCTGTTGTTCCCATAGCAATTGAGTGAAATCCAGGTGACGGTGAAGGGGATAGTGATGGTTGTACATTACTGCCACTAGCCAAACCTCCTGGTTTTGGAGGCAAGGAAGTTTTATTGTCAGACACCTGCAACAAAAACAATAACACTTAATGTCTGGAGAAAGCTTTATGTAGACCTGACCGCTAACAAATATGAAGTACTTTGCTGCTCTTCAGCAATGTTGAAAGTCTGTAGTCAAACATGGACAGTTTTGGCCAAAAGATGATAAATAGAACAATCAGTCATTATCTTTGTACTTGTACATCAGAGGGGGCCTAGTTGTGATGCAGAAGTTCAGACAGCTTCAGTAAGACTTTCCACATTTGCTATAACCAGTCAGCAACAAGCGTTTCCAAGATCTCAGACCCAGCAGTGAAACGAACCAGGGACAGCTGCTCAATGCTTCTCTTAGAAGTTTGTGAGAATGCACCTACATCCGTGGATTTCTCCCACACAGCATAAAACTGCACGGACAAGAATTCAAGTTGTATTTTTTTGCAGATTAAATTTACAGTCGTCAACTAACCACTGAAGGAATCTTTAACACCCAACGCTTTTTAAAAATTCAAAAATGTGTTACACTTTGCCCTTAGCAGTATAAAAATAGCAAAATATTCATAAGCATGCTTCTTGGTATGATATAAAAACAAAATGCCATAACTTCAAAATTATATTAATAAGAAATAAATGCACTGTACTGTCCTCTGTTCACTGAATCTTCTGTGAATTCCCATAAATAGCAATGGCTCTTTATTCCTTCAGGAACTTAACAGAAAAATGCAGCATTAACCTAGTTACCCTGGAACCATGTGGCCAGCTCAGAAGGATCCCATTCTTCTTGAAATGCAACCTAGTGCTCTATTTGTTAGACAAGGTATAGAAAATCTGAAGTCCACCTACCATACACGACCAGCTGCTTCATTGCATACACAGAATGGTGTACAAGTACAGTTATCACAATGGTAAGTGAGTCTTATTTACCATATTGTGATGACAAAAATGTTAGTGGTTAGACAAAAATTAGGAGAAAGTGTGTTAGAGCGGGATCCACCGAGTTCGGCAAAAAAACCAGTCTTCCCCACTACATGAGTGTGACTGAGCACAAAACCTGTCCTGGGCAAGCACTGCATTAAAAAAGTGTTCTGCAGAAAAAACAGTGTGACCATAGAAATAAAAATGGTGTTATAATCACAAGAAAGCTGAATCAGCCCAGTGACTCGAATGCTTGACTTCATGACCTTAGTAATATTTTTTTTAATTTTATATACACATGTATGCATGTGTGAGTATTGTGTACCTATAAATGGATCTTTCATGGATAACAATATTTGTATCAGTAGATGCAAGTTTCCTTTGGACTGAAAAGAGACGTTAGCCTGAGTTCAAACCTGGAGCAAGTGAACAAGGCACAACTGAAGTCATCCACACTGAATACTTTATTCCAGAGATTAACTGGCTATCAACATTAAAATGTCAAGCAGCTACCTTCTGATAGTGGTCATCTTGTTTTACAGGAACAACATCTACATCCTTGGCATACCAGCATGTAATTTACGAATGTTGGCCCAAGAGTATTCCTTAATGCAAGTGCTCCCAGAAGAGGGAGCTATATAGCAAAACATTATCCTTCTAACTTGATCAGAGAAGTGCATGACTTCATCTTTCAAATACTTCTTTTATACTATTAGAATGCAATATTTGTATTATTAAAAGTATCCTTATGTATTAAAAAATAGCTCCAACCTCTAAAGCCTGATTTACATACTCTTTCTGTCCTATAGTTTTCTAGCAATATACAGTGAGAATGGCACAAGCCTATGAAATGAATACAATTATACCTGCACAAAAAGTGATTATACTTGTAAATTTAAATTCACATACTACTAGAGTGGGTCAAAGAGCTGTATTTTCTCTGCTCAGGCTACTCTAATGTAAACTCAATTTACAGCAGCAAAAAAAAAAAAAAAGGGGGCCTTTGTTTCTAAAATTTCTTTCTCTAGCTTCTCTGATTCTGTGAAACGTATTTACACTAGAAGGAACTTTTCACAGTATGGTTGTGGAGACATTTTAAATGTTCAATTCACTGTAGACTTGCATTTCAAACACAGAACAATATTTTGTAGCCCTTACAATTTATTTTAAGCTTTTTTAAAGGGCTAGTTACCAGGTAATTCTTGAATTGAATTTTAAAAATAAGTATTTGAATACTGGTTTCAAAAATGAAGATGCATGTGATAAGGTTAAGCAGAGGCATTGCAATTAACTTACTTGTGATATTGTAACAGTTCTTGATTTCCTTGACACTTCAATAGTTTTGTGTGTAATGGAAACATGTTCTTCCTTCTCTTCTTCAGGACTTGGTGAGTCAAAGAAATCGGGGCTTGAAAGGGATGACTATATAGACGAACACCCACACCCCAAGAGAGGAAAAAATGCAGGTATTTTCATTGTACAAAAATTTAACAAAGTAAAAAAACCCATATTTTTAAAAAATTATCATTGTGAAAGCAACAACACTTAAAATCAGGCCTCTCCCTCTTCACACTCCCCCTTTTTTATGTCTTGTTTTTAAGGCTAGAATGCTTTCAAAGCATTCATGAAATGAGATATACTTAACAGTTGGATTCAACATTGATTTACATATTTTCATTGCATTATATTGGAAGATGAAAACACCCTCCTATTTGCAAGAAGAACTGTACCTTGGCTGGGACACTGAGCACTGTGCTGTGGGGATGGCAGCTCTGCCACAGCTTTGCTCAGTGCTGCCTGTGCACACTGCTGGCATTGCAGGGCTGCCTTGTGCATAGCCTCTTACTTGTAAACGTGCAAACGTGCAAGGTTCCTTACACTCCTTGTTCCTTTCCCCATAGATTTGACAGGGGAAGAAAGACCCTTGAACTTGTCTTTTACATTTCTATATTTATATACATTGCCAATTTTGAAGGCTTTCTTTTTTATGTTTTCTATTGAGTTTCACAATAATAATAATGCTTCCCTCCACTTTGTTTTTCTTCAGCAACATGAACGCAGGTAACCACCGGTAGTTGCTCTCATTCTGATATTCCAGAATTCAAAAAAGCATGGAAATCAACAATGCACAACTCCCCCCCAAAAAAAGACACGGAAAAACTAAAGCAGTCACTTCCAAAGTTATGGTTTATGAGACCAACTTGTCTAAAGACACATATAAGAGAGTGAAATTTAAATCACCCTTATATTTACAATTTTAAGTTTAATGAGAAGAATCACATGGTCGCTCAAGGAGAGCTGTTGAAGCCTGAAATAGTCAGTTTGTCCTCAAAATCTGATAAATGTCCTAGAGAAACCAAGGGAAATGCTTCTCTTGGGAAACACTTTCGATATCCTTAATACTTAGCACAAACTAGTTTATTGTGAATATTTTTATAAATGATTTTTCTGGCTTCAGTCATGGTTGGCAAGGAATACTTGGCAGCACCCAAATAAAGGGGTACAAATCTTGTAAGGGAAGGAATGTTTCAAACATCAGTATCCAAAACAGCCTTTTGACACTAATTTTCCTGACCTGCATCTCTCTGCCTCACTGTACGTGTGAAGGAGTGGCTGTGTAAGCGTAGTAAAAACACCAGGGAACACAAATAGGAGGACGGAAAAAGATCAGAAAAAGTATTTTTAAAAGAAAAGGAAAAATAACTTACAGATGTGAGAGACTGGGAGGGTGGTCGCCTGCCAGTAGCTTTTGGTCTGGTTGTAGTTGGATGATTAAGCTTCTCAGCAATTGGTACTACAGAGTCAAAACCTTCCAAGTCTTAAAAATAAAATAGAATTGATTTGGTTTTCTGGCAATTGTCCTCAAAGGGAAAGAATCACATTTTTTTTTCTAATTTCAAAGAAACCAAATCCCATTTTCCCCATTGTGTCACAGTGTTCTGCACATGTTTAGGCATCATGATGGCATGAAAAGAACCTGGAATTCAAAGGCAGCTGTAATCCAGTCACCCTTGCCAAGTCCAATTACCCTTCCATCTCAAACACAGTAAAGCAGAGGGGGAATGTGCAGAGGAGCCTTTGGCTTTGCTTTTGGCCTAGTGAAAGCCAAATGACAACATGGGTCCTATGGCATGGAATAAACAGTTTCAAAATTTCCATCGTGCTATTGAAGAGCTCAGTAATTTTTTTCATGAATAAGTGGAGGCATAAGACAGTGCACGCATCTCAAGAACTGTACTGTCGGCACTGCACCTGCAGCAATTGCTTACGGGAGCACAGAATGGGAATGATCGAGCTGGAAGTGATCTGCATGTTCGTTCCCTCCCAGCTGGAGGCAGCATAATTTCCAGTAGCTATAGGTGAGAGATAGATCTCCAGCAGTCCAGAGGTTATGGTAAGTAAAAACTCCAACAGGCTCCCGAAGTTGTACAGAGCCCAGGAAAAACAAGTCTGCCCTAATGCAGTCTAGACTGCCTCCACGGTTAGTGAAATGCACTGGGGAAGTGTTTACTGAATCCAGCCACGTGGTAGCATGTTTACGTGAAAGAACGATGTGAAGGCTGAAGGAATACCACAGCTCACGATTACATGCCTGAATCAAATGGTTTAACACCATTCATCTATTTTTATGGGTTATATCAGTTTCACTCACCTCTATTTCAAAATGCCCTACCGCATATGTTAATCAGAAATAAGTCAGAAAACATATAAGAGGTACCTTAGACAACACAAAATTCTGTAAAATTACATTCAGATGAATCAAGTAGTGGGATTATATTCATTAGTCAGAGACTATTTTTCATTGCACACATGTAGGAAGGAGTAGCTTTTAAGTTAATAGTTATATATACTGGGCACTTAGTTTTCTGAACTGTTACAGAACAATGAATCTCTGAAGATCCAGCTTTGTTGCTGTATTACAACTGTCGTACAAAATTACACAGTGGAGAACCAAATGAATTAATGGGCCCATGCAGTAAACTATATGCACTGAAGGACACTTAAACTGGTTCCAAGTACTTATGATTTGGCAGCTGCAAAGTAAATGGGATCAGACATTCCTTATTCAGCAATATTCTTCCATCTCTGAGAGATAAAAAAGGAAGAAAAAGAAAAAAAATAGACCTCTTTCAATAGCCCTGAAATAGTCTAAGGCTATTCACCTCCAAATACTACTCTATTTTTGGAGCAACTCTTCCTATATTTAACCAGTGATCCCACTGTCCTCTACTAGGTATTTCTCTCATTGCTTTTTTATTGACTGTTGCAACCTACATCCAAAGGTAGGTCACCCAGTCTGCCAATGGGAATTTGGCAATCTGAAGCCTCAACTGTACCCAACACATCATGTGAGGCTACAGTGCTTTTAAAGCAAAAATGAGCTAACATTGCAGACTACACAAAACCTATTTGTAGTCTTACAGAACTTCAGAGTTTCAGGAGAGGAGAAATGGAAATAAAAACTTATTTTCCGGGGGGGGGCTGGGGGATGAAAATTAAGAGCTAGTTTCCAGTAATATCTGGTTTGAAGCTGACACATGAGACAGCAAAATTACTTGCTTAAGATCACACAGCAAATCAGTGATGTATTTGAATATATCATCTTTGTTCTCACCACTGTGTTACTACCTTAAGCCAAACAGCAAGAATATACAGCCATCAAAACCAGACACTTGTCTATAAACATGTGAAGCTCATATACACAAGTACAAATGGAGGCTGAAGCAATCCTTCCATTTTTTCCCAACTAACAGTTTTTAGTATTTTTTTTTTCCTGAGCTAGTTTTAATCCAGCTCATTTTCCAACAGCATGTGCCCAGCCACACAAATATCCATGCTAAAGGAAGGATCAGTATCAGTACCAGAGGACTGATACAAGCAGCTAATACCGAGAGGAAGAGCAGACTACTGCTTTGGGGGGTAGCAAAGTGTCTGGAGTTATCTTGCAGCCTAGGAAGGCTCCTGTGCATGACCTCCCTCTCTCTGTGTTACTGCTTTTATGGTAAGCACCACTGTCCCTTCCTCTGTTCTTACAAAAGTAGGTATCTATACTAGTATGGAAAACAATCAATGAAAAAAAATAGTGACAGCATTAATTCGATGTGTTTCTTTGGTTTAATCAAGCTAACAAATACCTAGAGTTCTATGTTTGACCAGAATAGTCAAATATTCAAGTTTAATTTGTAAAATGTATTGATATACAGAGAGTGCATGAATTTGTGTCCTTGAGACCCATAAGCACTTGCAGATAAAATCTCTACGCATTTTATGAATACCATGAATGACAAACATTTCTGTGCAAAGCTTCTATTATCAAGAAATACTGGGATTCCTCCATTTTTTCCACTTCTGAATGCATTTCTGATAGCTATAAAAATGAACTAAAGCAGCCTATACCTGCACTGAATTTAACAAAAACCAAAACAAAACAAAACAAAAAAAAGAGCTGTGCAGAGGTTGTAAAGGCTCCACAGGTAGAACCTGCTGCCAAACTAGAGAAATCACAGCCATTCAGCTGACACTATAAATGAAATTCTATTTAAGTGTAACAGACAACACTCGGTACATTGCTAAAACAGTAAATCCATTTCCAGTACTTCCATATGCCCTTTATCCCCCCCGAGTTTGGTCTCCTTATTTAGATGTGTTTCTCACTCCCAAATCCACACTGCATCTAAGGTTATCATCACCTTTCACAGTCATCACCCATGAGGTATTCATTCAGGAAAATGCCCATGTAGTAAACAGGTAAAGAAAATGAGGAACACAACCACTCAGGAGACCTCTGCCTTGCTGTCATCTATACTGTAGATTCAGTAATGAGTCCACTTATACTGGTTATTTGATCATTTTTTGCTAATGGAAAGCAAAGTTGTATGGGTGTGACTATATCATACTCACTGAGATGACTAAACGCAGAGATTTGATTTTAGTTAGCTATCAGAAAGTGGGAGCTTAAATTTACTTAATAAGCAAAATGTAAAACCTTCCTGAGCTGGACCAAATGAGAAGTCATTAAAAATAAAAGTCTGCCTTACTGTATTCACAGCCATGTTAACTGCCCATAAGGCAGCGTCAGCATCCAACAGACCCAAACTCTGCACTGGTCCAGCTTTCTCTATGTCTATTAGTAACAACAAACAGCAAGGAAGGTTCTATTGAACACATACAACATCGAGGACACCCTTCAATTAACAATGGCACTCTCTAATTAAAAAAATACTTGATACTTGTTCTACAACTAAACAGATGCATTCATCATTACTACTGTCTCAGGATCAAGCTGGTAATTCATTAAGTAATTCACAAGATGGGGAGAAAGACATCAGAGTAACTAGTATACTAGCGTAGTACGATAAAATGTCTGGCTTAGTGAGCAAACGTTTAATGAATACGAAAAATGTTAGCTGTGTAGAGTGACTCCCGGGTATGCTTCCAAGCCAGTTAAGAATAGGATATTTTTCCTCACTGCTATGTTCATTTGGAGACATGGTTATTTAAGCATGATGATGGTGTTTTTAAAAAAGGTTGAGATCCAGGAAAACAATTATTTAAGGAAAAAGTTCTCAGGCTGTTAGACTTGTACCTTCCTGGAAAACAACTTTCAATCCCTCCAGAAAATAAAAATAATAATAAAAAAAAACAAACAAAACAAAACAAAACAAAAAAAAAAATGAAAAATTTAACTGGCTATGCATCCTTCCTTACCCCTTTTCCCCTTGCATTTACCATTCTGGCACAAAATGTATCTAGGCCTCAACTTCATCTTCCAATTAGGTTTTTAGTCTTGGGGCAAAGTAGTTTATGCATAATGAAGACAGAAAGCTTTTGCATTAGCACAGAGATTTCACCTTGAGAAAACTGAAATGGAAAGAGACAGATAATAGCAGAATCAACACATTCAGAATGACAATGGCGAGGTTTCATGTGACAGAAATACAGCAGGGCTGGAAGAAACGAGGCCAAGGTGACATTCAATTCATTTGAAGAAGCTAATGTCACAAAAGCCACAGAGGTAGATTTCATTTCATAATACATTTCAATACATTTAAAAGATTGACAATAGGGTTGTGAAACGGTATATAAACTGTCTTTAAATACAATAATCCTGAAAGCTATCAAATGAGACAGAGACACTGCAGATGAGATCTTCTGCATTAATGTCCATTCAATATATAGCACTAATTTAAAAATAACTCAAACAATAATCTGAATATTACAAGGAATTTTCATAAGACCACAACTATTTTAAATACTTCAAGCGCCCAGATTCTGCTACTCCGTCCACGCTGAATAGCATTGTACCCTTCAAGGAATACAGCCATGCTCCCAGCCAGGGTCAGGGCAGCAGAATTTCACCCATAATGAATTGCAGACTTTTTTAAGATCTGGGTAATGCACTTTTAGTGGGAGAGCTCTCTGGCTGCAGGGTTACTGTGCTCAGGAGTGTAACAGTGATGTGCTGGGGAGGCCTGCCTGCATGGTGCTTGGCTTGGGAGGGAAACAGCTTAGCTCACCGAGCTTCCCCAGACAGTCACTGGACAGCCACCTTTCCTAAAGTATATAACTGTCTTTTCCCATTTCATCCCTGACTTTTATCGCTTTAATAGCTGAATGTAGAAAGCTGCCTTAATGAGCTTTGCTAACCACTTGCCAGTGCCCTCATAAGGATTTTATTTTTAACAATTCAGGAGATGCCAAGAAAGAACTAAAAGGTCAAGAAAACTGAGCTAGAAGAAATGGATATGCTGTTTTCAGGCACCTCAACTTGACACACATGGAGAATGATTTAAATTTCTGGTTTACTGCCCTTTTCTG